TCGGTGGGAAAATCTGAAGCCAATCGCGTCAACAACCAACTCAAAACTTCGGACCAATCACATGAAACTGGTGACAGTTTGCCACCCGACTCGGTAATTCTGGGTGTGGCCTTTAAAGCCCGTGTTGCAACTACAGTGTTTCGATTAAAGCGGGTGATGCGCTCTGTGTGGCACCCCTCCAACTCACCAATGCAAGAAAGCGTGTCGTTAGACGGCTTAAAGCCGGTGTTGCAACTGCAGAATGGCTCTCCATTCGTGTTCTTTGTGCAATTGCCTCCAGGCCCGCAATTCACCGCATGACACAAGTCTGCAGGGAATCAGATATGGAGAAAGGGAGTGACGATGAGGTGTGACAACAAGATAAGAAATGGATCACGAAAAGACGCAACGTGAGAATATGTGTCGGATCGATAAGGCAGAAAATCTGTAAGATGAGTAGTATCGTACCTACACAAGTGCCATTAACGGCAGCAAAGCCCGGGTTGCATGGGCAGGTGACGCCCTTGCTGTCAGTCGTTGTCATGCACGTGGAGTTGGCGGGACACGTGGCGTGCTGGCAGGTGATTTCTGGCAGCATGGGGTGCGAAGAGAGACACGTGCGTAGCACAGAGACACGTGGGGGAATACAGAGAGATGAGGCGTGCTAGTGACAGCACATGCCAGAGAAGCTTTCTATCACGGAAGAAATGAGATGTGTGCAACTTTTGAGGAGCCTCAAAAGACAGAGGTGGGGCGTGGCTGGTGAACAGAGCAGCTCCCTCCCATAGAGAGGATGAGATGTGGCATAGAAGGGGTGCGATGTGGCATAGAAGGGATGAGATGTGGCATAGAAGGGGTGCGATGTGGCATAGAAGGGGTGCGATGTGGCATAGAAGGGGTGCGATGTGTGCGGCACGGTGATAAGGCGGCAAGGAGGCAAGGAAGCAACGACGAAACGATGCAAGGAGGCGAGGAGGCGAGGAGGCGAGGAGGCGAGGCACGCACCACACTTGCAGGAAACAGAAGTCCATTGGGGAATCTTCTTTGCGCTGCAAGCAAGGACGGCAGGAACACATTCAGATGAGACATGAGGAACACATTCAGATGAGACATGAGGAACACATTCAGATGAGACATGAGGAACACATTCAGATGAGACATGAGGAACACATTCAGATGAGACATGAGGAACACATTCAGATGAGACATGAGGAACACATTCAGATGAGACATGAGGAACACATTCAGATGAGACATGAGGAACACATTCAGATGAGACATGAGGAACACTCGATGAGATGTTTAGGTCGGCATGGACAGCAGGTCACAACTTTGGCATGGGAAGGGGTCACTCTTTCCCCCCCAACCATCACCCACCTGCCCTGCTCCCATGACCCCAAGACCCACCTGCCCTGCCCCCATGACCCACCTGTCACTACTAGTCTCATAACCCGCCCTGCTCCCGTGACCCGAGGCCCACCTGGGCACGTGGAAGAATTAGAACCTGTCACCACTGGTCATCATGATCCTTGACCCGAGGCCCACCTGGGCGCTTGGAAGAATTTCCGCAGAGCGGCAAACTGCGGTTGCAGCACCTCATCCAGCGCCTTGCCCTTGCAGCCCGGGTTGGCGAAGAACCGCACCTGCTTGCACGCCGCACCTTCACCCTTCCCATGCGAACCACCGCCGCCCCTGCCGCCGCCCCTGCCTCCGCCCCTGCCGCCGCCCGTGAGCCCATGCCACCACACCTGCACGTCTCCCGCCGCCTTGCGCGCCGCCCGGGGAAGGCTGAAGCAGCGGAGGGCGTCGAAGCTGACGGGGAGGCTCATGCCCGGCACCGAGATCTGCGTTGCCACGTGGACCCTCGCGTCCACCACACCGCCTGTGCTGCTGCCAACCCCCACCCCCACGCCCACCCCCGCCTGTATGTTCTGGTTCCCGCTTCCTGCGGTGATCTCGCTTTTTACAGCCTCGGTAACGGTGGCAACCGCTGGAGGGACAGGCAGGAGAGGGGTGAGAGGGAGCAGAGGGGTGAGAGGGGAGCAGAGGGGTGAGAGGGGAGCAGAGGGGTGAGAGGGGAGCAGAGGGGTGAGAGGAAGGGAGCACACACACACACACACACACACACACACACACACACACACACACACACACACACACACACACACACACACAGAGAGACAGAGAGAGAGAGAGAGAGAGAGAGAGAGAGAGAGACACACACACACACACACACAGACACAGACACACACACACAAAGAGACACACACACACACACTCTCTCTCTCTCTCTCTCTCTCTCACACACACACACACACACACACACACACACCCCGCAGAGACACGACTCACCGCAGACGACGGCGAGGACGAGGAGCGGAAGCAGCGCGGCAGGAGAAGCGGCCATGATGGCGGTCAAGCTGCCACGTCAGGTGGGGTCAAGCTGCCACGTCAGGTGGGGTCAAGCTGCCACGTCAGGTGAGGTGAACCTGCCACGTCAGGTGGGGCAATTCCTGTGCAGCGCGCCGCTGCCACTGCGGTGTACGGCACGCAGTCAGAGTGCCTTCAAGATGCAACGAGACTGATGGCGCTGAATTGGTCACACAGATGGTACAAGGCAGCTCGATGCAATGGTGCAGCTCGATGCCACTGGTACTACTAGTACAGCTGACACATACAGGTACTGTAGCTGGAGGTGTACTAGACGTGCTATAGCTGCTGGCGTTGCTATCATACGGCACGAGGAAATGGCACAGAAGCAGCAGAGGGAATGCTCCCACGGCTGCTCCGGCGGGTGGTTTATGGGCAAAGTTGGAACGCTCGCCCATCGTCCGAGGCTGAATGTACAGTTCGAGGCGCTGCTAGGAACGCGATCTGGTTGCCTCGATTCACAGAGATGCATTTGGGAGCTCTGCGAATTGTACGCGCATGCAAGAAGCATGGCGACCAGCACAGCAGAGCCTGCAGTGTCGCTCGGGCTGGTGAACGACGCTGGGAGCTTGAGCGAAGCAACTGGATTGGAGCTCACAGGTGCAAAAACGAATTATTGAAATAATGCAGAGTCTGCTGCGATCTTGCCGCATGTTCAGGGCGAGGGAAGGACTAAGTTCCGCTCGTCGCGCACGAAGTGAATTATTAGCAATCGCACGGCTCATGTTTGCTCATCTCGCATAGGGGTGAATAATGCAGTCGCGTAGGTGGGGGGGACGCGGAAAAGTGGTGTGAGACTGACGATCTTGAACACCTAAAAAATCGTTAATAGAGGAATCAGTAAGATTCAAATAACACTCTGGAAAAGTTTGGATAGGAAAAAGTCTGCCGTCGGACACTTTAGCTGCCGAGTATGAGAGCCACATTGAGGAAGAGAAGAAAAGGCAGCAACGCATCGATATGTTGATCGGCGAGTAGTATCAGGTAATTTGGCTTGATGGTAACTTGATTAAGTGCGATATGACTAATGTACATGTGAAAATCGTCGTCTTTATACCGGATGGACAAGATTGGTGCTACAAAATGCGATGATTCTTGTGTTTAAGGGATCTTCTCGTACAAGAAGTCCAACTCAGTAATACATTGAGTTTATACTGTATTACCCAAAATTATTGTTGTAATATCAGCTTCGCTTTAGGTTCCAATCAAGTGGTCTTACGGTCACAAAGTTGGCAGTCCCTCTGGTAAGATACCAAAGAAGATCGACTTGAATGACCAGCAGTTGAAGCAAGTTGTTCGTTTTTTCTATAGCTTCTGCCTCCCAAATGTCGACGGCCTACACATAAAATGAACTGTATGGAACTATTCACTTCCAGATTAGTTACATTCGTGGGAAAGTTCTGCTTCGCTGAAAACGTACGCTTTACTGTAAGCTTGTTATCAATAGAAGTTTCATGTTAGACGTCTTGACTCATGCCCACGTTCGAAGGATTTTTTTTTGTTTGCGCGTGCCAGTTTCAGTCTCCGATTTTTTTGTACGGCAAGGGCCAGCGCGTGTACTGTGGCGTCACTGGCGCGAGAGAAAGTTGCCGAGGGCATTTCTTGCGTGTACACAGATTTGTCACACTGTGACGTGGCTCCCCTCTAAACTGGGGAACGAAGCACTCGTCCTAGTCAGGCCATTGGCAGAAGCCGTGGCATGATATCTTGGTTAGGCTCGGTGTCAAAGGTGGCGTACGTTTGGGAGAACAATGAGAAGATTGCTTTCGGCCCTCTGCGTGGGACGAGGGAGGGAGGGAGTGAGAGGGCACACCACAACGTCGCTCGTCATCATCGCATCCCAAGGTGCACTGCATGAGCTGGCCCCCGAACCAGGAGATGTTTTCTTGATATGTTTTTTACCTTGGACCATGAGGCTCGTCAAACAAAAAACAGCCAATGCGAGATTGACGAGTAAGGCGCCCTCACATGCCGCTGAACTTGGAAAAGTTTCATGTCTGGCGGTCCTTTCTACTATTATCCGCGCTGGCACAAGGAATCCTCCTAGTGGCAGGCGCCCAGCGTGTGTGTTCTGGAAAACACTGTTCCGTGTAGGGCAGTTCCTGATCGTCCAATGGCAGGAATCACCCGGGATTTGTTATGAACTGCCATTGGACTCCGCCCATAGAGAGGGCCGGGCAGCTCGGAGAAACTTTGTGAGGGGAGCTCAATGTCCTGCTGGCGCTGTTTGGGCAGTCCCTGATTCGAGGGCATCGAGACGGAATCAAGCCAAGCTCAGCAGCCGATTGTTCTTGCTCGCTCTGTAGGCAAGCCAATGGAAGGCTCCACATTCAAATGCTCGCTATCAGCCTTGGCTGATTGACACGAACAATTGCTCGAGCACACTTCCTCGTTCCATTGATTTCCCATTTAGTGGCTCTGTTTTACTCTGAGTAATTCGAGAATTTAGTCATTCGAGAATTTAGTCAACGACAAGCTCGAAGAATCTTGTCTTGGCGCTAGAGCAGCTGAATTGCCTTCAGAGGTTTGGTACATTGCGTCGAGCTAATTTGCTTCGTGCGAAATTGCTTCGTAGTTCAGCTTTGGACGCCATGGCTGCACGAAGAGCGCTGATTTTCTCCGAGGGTTCTGCAGTTGAGCGTCCTCAATGGCTTGATTGTCTACTGAAGGGGGATTTCTTCTCTTCTTGCACGCGACACGTGTCGCTGAAGAAGAACGAAATGAATTTGTTCTGCCTGGACTGCATGGAGGAGCTTTGCCAGCATTGCATGCCAAGCCACCAATCTCATAAAATGCTCCAGGTATGTCCGTTCCTCCAATTTCCGCATTTGAACTGCTGCATTTGCATATTTCACGGGGAATTCAAGCGGATTGCCAAATTCGGAGAGGGCTTGGGTCGAATGGATTACATTGAGAGTCCAATTGACCTTATCACAAACAAACCGACTCAAACAATTTCTCATTCTCCTTTGTCCAGATTCGGAGATACGTGTATCACGACGTTGTTCGGCTTCAAGACATCACGAAGCTCGTGGACTGTAGCGGAGTTCAGGTGTGAATCCCTTTCTGAAATTTCAATTGATAATTTTTGTCAATGTAATTCCTGCCGTAACAACCAAGACTCTTTCCTTTCCGTTTAACAGGCCTACATTGTCAATGGCTCAAGAGTGGTGTTCTTGAACCAGCGGCCTCAGCCTCGACCGACCAAGACGACCAATTCATGCCTGACATGCGCTCGAATGCTCCAAGACGAATTCAGTTACTGCTGTTTGGGTTGCAAGGTACGTCTTTGACTCAAAGAACTCGCCGCTCAGAACAGCGTCGCAATCGTCAATTTCAGTCTTGCGGTCTACGACCAAGCTTAAATCTAGTCCAATTCTCATCAATTGTGCTTCGACGATGCAGGTAGAGGCTCTTGAACGCCTGAACGCGCCGTTGTCAGAACCGATAAAGAGGAAGGCGACGAATCAATTATTGACCAGCTTAGCCACCTCAGATAGCGGGTCGTATTCTTCTCAGGATGAGCTGTCGCCTATGAATCACGACGACTCGCGAAATCTCGCCTACTCCGATAGTGGCTCGTCGTTTGAGGAAAAGGAGACGACGTCCCATGATTATGACTACTCCTCCGTGCCTAAACGTTCGCGAAACTCGCGATCGTCGTGGAGCTCTTCGCCAAGATCTGTCCTTCCTAGCTCGAACAGACGAAAAAGTACACCACAGAAATCCCCAGCCTATTGATGGACATCGCCAGCTGATTGACGGATATCGTCAACTATCTCACGGATAACGCCCTTGATTGACGGAAGTCGCCTTCACTGTCAACCCCTCTAAACTGATACCGCTATTTATCAAGCCTCGCAGAAAGCTGAGGCGATCCGCGACTATCACCACCTACTACTGCCAACCAGCTTTCTCCCACCCAACTTCAACCTTACTGGTATTTATTCCCATCTGCATCCTCCACCTGCACCATCCAGCCGCTTCAACACCATCTATCTGTACGGTACCATCCGTCCCTTCTCCCTCCATCCTTGTACATCCGCCGGCGTAGTCATAATGGTTCGGGGTGGTCCGGGGTATTTATGTGTGTCTTGTGATGTCTTCAACAGAAATTGAAGATTGCCTGGCGTACTGCTGTTGCTCAGCGGTCAGCCAGGACATTACTGCATCTCACTACACCGTCGGGGGATTCTGCGCAAGAAGTATCCTCTGTTGTTCTATTCAATTGGAAATAAAATTATACTGGGTTTGCTGTTGCTTGACGTTAGCCAAGATACCACAGCAGTTCATCTGAAACTTTGGAAGGCTCCATTCTCTGCTCTGCGCTCTGTTGTACCCTTCACCTGAAAAAACACTCTTGCCAACAATCCTACAACCCGGACCCTCTGGAAGACCAAGTTTCACTCCCTGTTTGTGCTATTGGGGATCCGTTGGTACAGAAGGCATGACTGATTAAAACCTGAAGCCCGAAGTTGTCTGGATAATCTTGGAACGGGTGAAGCGGAAAGAGATGGATGGAACTCAAAGGGTACATGGTCCATGTTTAGTGGCCAGCCATAACCAAATCCAGCGTCTGCACTGCCAGACGCAGCTTCGGCCATGGGTGCTATATGAGGTGCACAATGCCGCTTGCAACCATGACTCGGTTATTGACCTCCATTTGCTGCATGACAACACAAGGAATTAAAATTTAGCTTCAAGCGCCCCTCAACCATTAACACACGACCATCAATACCGGTCACATCATCTCATTGTCAAATTGCGCAGCCACCATTCAGCCCACTTGTGTGCTCTCTTTCCCCCAAACGAGAATCATTGGCCAGCCGAAGTGACTCAACTCAGTATGCATACCATCACCGAATCTCACCTCGCTCCCATCTCACCCCCATCTTCCCATCACCTCACCTCCAGCATCGCATCGATTTCAGCGCGAGTGAAGCTCTTCCCCGGCCACCGCTTGTTGACCACCTTTACCAGTGCCTCCACTGCTATCGACTCGACCCACCAATCAAACAAATCGCACCCACCAATCAAGCCACTAACTCACCCCCATCTCACCCTAACCGGACTCCCATCTCATCCCCACCCCCCCATCACTTCACCTCCAGCATCGCATCGATTTCAGCCCGAGTGAAGCTCTTCCCCGGCCACCGCTTGTTGACCACCTCAATCAGCTCCTCCACTGCTATCGACTCAATCCGTGCTGCCACTGCATGCTCACTAAACGCCAGCTGGAATGCATCAAACCTAACGATTGTATAGAAAAAAAGAAATAAATCCAGCACAGTAAAATCGAGAGATAAACAGAAAGAAGGATGCAACAAAAGAAATGTTGGGTTGGACGCCTCGACAACAACATTTCGAACCAGAACAGCAAAAGTCAGAGAGGACCATGATGGGACAACCACTGATGACGCGGATCAGAAAGCAGAGAAAGGGCAGATACAAAGAAAGCCCGCTGTTCAGCAGGCAAGGCCCCATCCACAGCAGAAGCAGGTGAAGGGTCACAGCTACCCAGGGTGGCTGTGGTACGGAGAGTGATTGAATGAGTGAGGGAGTGAAGGCGTGAGGGAGTGTGGGAGAAGGAAACAGGAAGCCCACCTTTCAGCAGTGAAGGCCCCATCGGCAGCAGAAGCAGGTGCCGGATCACCCAGGCTGGTGCAGGGGAAACAGTATGGAGGGACGTTGGAAGGAGAGGAGATGAAGAGGAGATGAAGAGGAGATGAAGAGGAGATGAAGAAGAGGAGATGAAGAGGAGATGAAGAGGAGATGAAGAGGAGATGAAGAGGAGATGAAGAGGAGAAGAAGAGGAGATGAAGAGGAGATGAAGAGGAGATGAAGAGAAGATGAAGAGGAGATGAAAAAAGATGAAGAGAAGATGAAGAGAAGATGAAGACAGGGCAGGTGCGGACAGAGAAAATGACATGAAGAAAACCACAAAGAAATCGGCAGAAACGTTTCTTGATACTAATAACCATAAGGGCTGCATAACCATTGTCCCCATGTCCCTCTTCCTCCTCCCCACCCAATTGCACCCACATAAACACCAGCAAATAAGAAGCCAAAGAACGTACTGTGGCACCCCATCAGCAGGTGCTTCCTCCATCTCAATCTCCTCCTCCTCCTCATCCTCCTCCTCCTCCTCTCCTTCCTCCTCCACATATTCTTCCTCTTCCTCGCTCCCTTCCGCCTGAGAATCCCTGCGTTGCCTCTTTCCACGGGACCTGCAGGACCATGCGGAACAGCCAAGAGGGAAATACAGCAAAGGAAAGGGGAGGGGTAATAAGCAGTGCAGGCAGCATTGCAAGCGCAGACACAGCCTGGTTTTATCGTTGTCTCGGAAGTGTCTTCCCTCTCCTCCCCCTGTGAATCCCGGCATTGCCTCTTTCCACTCAACCACCCTGGCACAACGGGACTATCACACCTTGTCCCGTGTCCGCCCTGTCGCCTCGTCCGTCTCCCAGCAGCAGCTGCTGCTGCAGCTCGCCCCACATCAGGCTGACTTTTGAGTCGACTCAAAAGTCAGCTCCCCCCACATCAGCAGTCATGCAAGCTCCCCATCGCACCCACCCAACATCCAGTCACAACAAGGCCAACTCACCTTGTCTTGCGCCCGCCTCGTCTCCTTGTCCGTCCCCCAGCTGATGCTGCTGCAGCTGCACCCACACCATCAGCAGCACCAGCAGCACCAGCCTCGGTCCCATCAGCAGCACCATCACCAGAAGCAGTCGCAGCGGCAGCAGCAGCGGCGGCGGCGGCGGCAGCAGCAGCTTCTTTCCGTTGCTGCTCCACGCGCTGCCTCTCCTCCTCCATCCGCTTGTCCGTCTCGTCCAGCTCGCGGTGGTACAGCGCAAAGTCAAGGAGGCTTAACGCAGCTGCCACGTCTGATTCCAACACCTGGAAGGTGCAAGAGGAGGGGTGGGGAGGGGTGAGGAGGGGTGGGGAGGTGTGAGGAGGGGTGGGGTTAGCCCTCTCCTCCTCCATCCTCTTGTCTGTCGCATCCAGCTTGCGATGAAACAGAGCAAAGTCCAGCAGACTCAACGCCGGAAAGGAGCAAGAGGAGGGGTGGGGAGGGGTGAGGAGGGGTGGGGAGGGGTGGGGGTAGGCTCAACGCCGCTGCCACGTTTGATTCCAACACCGGAAAGGAGCCTGGATAGGTGCGAGCCTTGGCGTGTCTTAAGGAGTCAGCTTGATCGGTTCTTAAAAACAGAAACAGAACTTGCGTAAGCTACACTCGGCTCTTGCAGACCAAGTTCACCTGCCAAGTCAGTTTTAAGAATTCTCAGAAGTGGTCCCAGAATATTTTTTTCCTGCCCACTGACCAAGCACACCTGCCTGTCCTCCAGTCCTACCCCCTGCAACACAGGCAGGACAGGCAACCTCTCTTGCTGTTAGACTCCTGTGTTCGTGCGTGCCCGTGTTCGTGCATGCCCGTGTTCGTGCGTGCCCGTGTTTGTGCATGCCCGTGTTCGTGCGTGCCCGTGTTTGTGCATGCCCGTGTTCGTGCGTGCCCGTGTTTGTGCATGCCCGTGTTCCTCCTCCGGTGTGCGTGCGTGCCCGTGTTCCCAGCAAGGGAGGCTGCCTGTCCTGCAGTCCTACCCCTGCAACACCCACCTCTCGCCGCAGCTTCAGCGTGGCATGCGCTGTGGACAGGCGGATCATGGTCTCGACAAGTTCATTCCTGGAGGCAACTCAGCATCCCTCCTCGCAAACTTCATCTTGCTAACCACATGACACACCGACCTCACGTTTCGCCTCACCTCGCGCCGCAGCTTCAGCTTAGCGTGTGCTGTGGACAGGCGGATCATGGTCTCGACAAGTTCATTCCTGGAGGCAACTTAGCATCACTCCTCACCCACTTCATCTTGCTAACCACATGACACACCGACCTCACGTTTCGCCTCACCTCGCGCCGCAGCTTCAGCTTAGCGTGTGCTGTGGACAGGCGGATCATGGTCTCGAGCGAGCGAGCCGTCACAGGGAGAGTGCCTTGATCCGCCTGGGGGATGAGTGGGTGGGGGGGAGAAGGAGAGAAAGTGCTTCATTGAAATCACTTTTGAGAATTCGCAAAAGGAGAGAAAGTGCTTCAAGGGAGGCGAAAATCATGCCCTCAAGCAATCTGTTTTTTGAGAATTCTAAAAAACCTGCCCTCACGCAATCGGACTGTCCCAGGGCCAACTCCCACCAGGGGAGTGAGTACGGGAGGGGGAAAGGAGAGACAACAGGGGCAGTTCCAATAGAAAGATAGAGAGCGCTGTGGAGAGGCAGATAATGGCCTTGAATCTTGAGAGATCTGCACGTCATAGGGAGAGTGCCTAGTTCCGCCCGGGCCCATGCAATGTGCCCTCCTTCCCGCACATGCCTGTGCTATCTTCTCTCGAAAACTCACCTCACCTTCCTCCAGTCATCACACACACACAATGCGCTTAAGAGCGCCTCAAAACGTCTCACAGCTCAACTCACCCTCCTTCTTGTGTCCGTGCCATGACCCCTCATCTGAATATGCCTGCACTACTCACCTCACCCTCCTCTGCACACAATGCGCTTCAGAGCGCCTCACAACGTCTCACAACTCAACTCACCCGCCTCCTTGCGTCCATGCCCTGAGCCCTCATATCCGAGCTGACTTTTGAGTCGACTCAAAAGCACACCTCACAACTCAACTCACCCTCCTCCTCGCGTCCATGCCCTGAGCCCTCATATCCGCATAAGCCTGTGCTATCTTCTCTGCTGCCTGCAGTCCAGCACAGGGGCGTGAGGAGAGAGGAAAAGGGGAAGAGCGCAATGGGAGGAGGGCAGGAGAGGAGTAAGAGGCTTTTGAGACGTCTCAAAAGAGGGCAGGAGAGGAGTAAGAGGCGAGAAAGTGATTTTGACGTGCGTGAGACTCGGCCTCTGTTCGCATTTCAAGACGTCCTAAAAAAAGACACCCCAACACGCCTGTGCTGTGCTGTGCTATCCTCTGTGCTTTCCGCAAGCACGGCAAGAGGTATGAGTGACCGCGAAAAGATTCAGATTCATCAAACAGCGCAGCAATTCGACATGAAAAACAGTGCAGCAATGCGGCATGAAAAACAGTGCAGCAATGCGGCATGAAAAACAGTGCAGCAATGCGGCATGAAAAACAGTGCAGCAATGCGGCATGAAAAACAGTGCAGCAATGCGGCATGAAAAACAGTGCAGCAATGCGGCATGAAAACCAGTGCAGCATGTTAGAATATCTCCTCTCTTGTAACCTGCATATATGCTATAGGATAGGCTAGAGATAAGCACCCAAACTTAGTTTGGGTGTACAAGCAGGGGTTACCCAATTTGTAGGTTGGAAACCCAACCTTGGTCCAATTATTGGACCCCAAGGGTTGGGATGGGTAGAATTATTGGTCCCCTCCAATAATGTTGGCCCAACTCCAACTTGGCCAACATTATTGGACCCCACCAATAATCTCCCAACCCAACTCCTTGGTTGGGGTCCAATAATGTTCACCTAGGCTAGTTTCCAACTCATCTCCTATGTAAACCCCCCATCCTTTCAATCAATCCATCAACTTCTCTTCTACCTTTTCTTCTCACATGGTATAGAGCTCTTAAAAATCCTAGGCCTACGCTCCTAGTTTTTTTTCAAAGGCCGCCGCAACCCCCGGCCTCCTCTCTCATTTCTCCGCGGCTATCTCGCCACCCTCCCCCTCTCCTCAAGCACTCCCTTCCTCGCAGCCCCACGGCCTCCCACGCCATCACGGCTCGCGGCCCCACCGCCGCTTCCGCGCTCGCCTTGTCGCGGTCCCGCCGACCGCCACCGCCCGCCCCATCCCGCGGCCTCGACGCCGCCTCCGCGCCAACGCCACTGCGGCCGCCGTCGCCGCCGCCGCTCCCTTCCGCGGCCTCGACGCCGCCTCCGCGCCTGCACTGCCGCGGCTTCGCCAGCCGCCGCCGCTCGCGCCGCTCCCTCCCGCGACCCCGTCGTCACTTCCGCGCCAGCACTCCCGCGGCTTCGCCAGCCGCCGCCGCTCGCGCCGCTCCCTCCCGCGGCCTTGTCGCCGCTTCCGCGCCTGCACTGCCGCGGCCTCGCCAGCGCCGCAGCTCGCGCCGCTCCCTCTCGCGGCCTCGTCGCCGCCTCCGCGCCTGCACTGCCGCGGCTTCGCCAGCCGCCGCCGCTCGCGCCGCTCCCTCCCGCGACCCCGTCGCCGCTTCCGCGCCGGCACTCCCGCGGCTTCGCCAACCGCCGCCGCCCGCGCCTCTCCGCGGCCTCGTCGCCGCCTCCGCGCCAGCCGCCGCGGCCTCGCCAACCGCCGCCCGCGCCTCTCCGCGGCCTCGTCTCCGCCTCCGCGCCAGCCGCCGCCCGCGCCTCTCCGCGGCCTCGTCGCCGCCTCCGCGCCAGCCGCCGCGGCCTCGCCAGCCGCCGCCCGCGCCTCTCCGCGGCCTCGTCGCCGCCTCCGCGCCAGCCGCCGCGGCCTCGCCAGCCGCCGCCCGCGCCTTCCCCTCCAGCGGCCTCGACGCCGCCTCCTCGCCAGCACCGCCGCGGCCTCGCCAGCCGCCGCCGTCCGCGCCCCTCCGCGGCTTCAACGCCGCCTCCGCGCCAACCGCCGCGGCCTCGCCAGCCGCTGCTGCCCGCGCCACTCCCCTCCCCCCCCCCCCCCCCCCCGCGGCCTCGTCGCCGTTGCTCCTCCGTGACCACTGCGGGTCCACCTGCAGCCGTCCATCATGGCTACTCCTACACCCTCCCCCTCCCCACTTCCTCCCCCTATTGATACGTCCTCCATTGATAAGCTCCAGCTCGCCGCGGACAAGTCCGCAGTCAACTGGCACTCCTTCGTCGGCAGCATCCGACGCGTTCTCTCCGACGCATGGGTTCCCCCCTACCGTGTCCTTGACGTCATCCTCCGCCGCCCCCATGCCCTCCCCCCCACCGAATCTCCCCACCCCGGCGAGACTCCTCCTCTTCCTCCTACTCCTGGCGACCCTCCTCGTGAACCCGATCTTCAGATCACCCCCGACCAAGCCACTGCGGACACTGATTTTATCCTACGCCGCCGTGAATACCTCATCCGCAAAGCCGAGTACGATGCTGCAGTTGAGGCCTATGATCAGGCGGTTGCTGGTCGCGACGCTCACCTCGAGGTCGTCGCCAAATACAAGGTCGACATGGCTGACTTCACCCCCAGACTCATCGCCTGGACAGCTGCTGACACCCGTGCCTGCACCGTTCTCCTTGGAGCTCTCCCTGACTCCCTCATGCGTCGCTTCCAGGCTCGGGAACTCCGTGCCTCGGTCATCTGGGCAGAACTCCATGCCATGTTTGAGCGCCGCGACATCAGCTCCGTCGGCATCCTCTTCCAAGAGTATTTTTCCATCACCCTCGCCACCTGTGACGGAGCAGTCGACTACGTCGGACGCATGCGCGAGGTAGCTGATCGCCTCGAAGCCCGCCAGGCCGGCCTCTCCGAACCTCTTCAAATCCACCGCCTCCTCTTTAACCTCACCCCAGACTACGAATCCCGCCTCCACGCCTTTACCGAAGCCAATCCCATGGCCGGTCTCGCCTCCGTTGAACAGTGGATTATCGACACCGAAGTTAAACTCCGTACACCCATCGTCAACCTCGCCTCCTCCCAACCCACCTCCTCCTCCCTCAACGCTACCCAGCCTCGCAAGCAGGGAAAGAACAACGGCAAAGGAGGAGGTGGGGGCAAGGGAGGTGGTGGTTCGGGAAGCAGCAACAACCGTGGTGGCACCACTGGGGATGAGCACGGCACCACCACTTCGGGTGGACCCACTGCAAGTCGCGGGAGTCGCCCTGGCACGCTTCCTCCCTGCACCTATGTCCGCCGCTATGGTCCTCGGGCTGGAACTCCCTGCGGACAGACCAACCATCCCCCTGGCACGTGCTTCAAGGCTCTCGACGATGCCTGGTACGCGAGGTTTAACGTTGGCACTCCTCCAAAGTGGGGCAACATCTCCCCACGCCCCTCCCCCACCGATATCCAAACCAATCCAGCCTACCTCCCAGCCCACCTCCGCCTCCTTGCTCCCCCCACACCCTTCCTCAACCTCCAGCAGCAGCACCTCCAGCAGCAGCAGCAGCAGCAGCAGTTACAGCAGCTGTTTCACCCTCAGCCGCAGCAGCAGCAGCAGCCACAGCCGCCGCAGCACCCATGGGGGTCAGGACCCCAGCCACAGTGGGGACCCAGCCCTCCTCCCTGGCCGCAGCAGCAGTTGAACTTTGGCACAGCAGCCATGGCCGCTCAAGCCTCACCTGCCCCCCTTTGGGGTGCCCCACCCCCCCCCAGTAGCACTGCCACCCCTCTCACTCACGAGAGCTTCCTTGGCAACATAGCTATTTCGCCCTCTCTTCCTTCCATGTACCCATCCAACATTAATGAAACCACTTTCCAGTACTCAGTGTCTTCCTCCTCCTCCTCCTCACCCACTCTGGACTTTGTCCTTGACAGTGGGGCCACTGAGACCGCCCTCAAAGACGCTGGTACACTCACACCCCTCTCCCCTCCCACTCAAGTTCACGGTGCTGACAGCAGGCCTCAACCTTCACTCCCATCCCCAACACACTGCCGCTACCCCCACGGAGCTCTGGTCAGGAACCAAACCTGACGCTGCCGGTCTCCGTGTCTGGGGTTGCAAGGCATATGTGCTTATTCCTCCACCCGACCGCACCCAAGGCAAGCTCGCTCCTCGCGCCCTCGAGTGTGTCTACCTCGGACACAACCGCGACTCGCCTGGTTACCTCTTCCTTCACCCTCCCTCTGGTCGCCTCATCCGCAGCATTGACGTTGTGTTCGATGAGACCACCCCGTACTACTCCTCCCCACCACCAGACCCCCTCCCTCCTCCCGCACGTCCTCTCGCTTGGGCCGACACCGTCCTCCCTCCCCTCCTCCCTCCGGCACCTCTTCTCCCACCCCTCCCCACCCCGCTTCCGCCACCTTCATCCGCCGACGTCTACGATCCCACTGCTCCTGCCTCCCCCGCACACTCCACGGCTCCCCCTCCCCCCTCCCCTTCCCACTCCCCTCCTCATCCATCAGCAGCAGCAGCAGCAGCAGCAGCAGCAGCAGCAGCAGCAGCAGCAGCAGCAGCAGCAGCAGCAGCAGCAGCAGCAGCAGCAGCAGCAGCAGCAGCAGCAGCAGCAGCAGCAGCAGCAGCAGCAGCAGCAGCAGCAGCAGCAGCAGCAGCAGCAGCAGCAGCAGCAGCAGCAGCAGCAGCAGCAGCAGCAGCAGCAGCAGCAGCAGCAGCAGCAGCAGCAGCAGCAGCAGCAGCAGCAGCAGCAGCAGCAGCAGCAGCAGCAGCAGCAGCAGCAGCAGCAGCAGCAGCAGCAGCAGCAGCAGCAGCAGCAGCAGCAGCAGCAGCAGCAGCAGCAGCAGCAGCAGCAGCAGCAGCAGCAGCAGCAGCAGCAGCAGCAGCAGCAGCAGCAGCAGCAGCAGCAGCAGCAGCAGCAGCAGCAGCAGCAGCAGCAGCAGCAGCAGCAGCAGCAGCAGCAGCAGCAGCAGCAGCAGCAGCAGCAGCAGCAGCAGCAGCAGCAGCAGCAGCAGCAGCAGCAGCAGCAGCAGCAGCAGCAGCAGCAGCAGCAGCAGCAGCAGCAGCAGCAGCAGCAGCAGCAGCAGCAGCAGCAGCAGCAGCAGCAGCAGCAGCAGCAGCAGCAGCAGCAGCAGCAGCAGCAGCAGCAGCAGCAGCAGCAGCAGCGGCAGCAGGGGCAGCAGCAGCAGCTGCAGCAGCAGCAGCAACAGCAGCAGCAGCAGCAGCAGCAGCAGCAGCAGCAGCAGCAACAGCAGCAGCAGCCGCAGCAGCAGCAAGGGCAGCACCAGCAGCGGCAGCAGCAGCAGCCGCAGCAGCCACAACAGCAACAGCAGCCGCAGCAGCAGCAGGGGTTCCAGCAGCACCAGCAGCAGCAGCGGCGCAGGGCAATTGCCCGCTCCTCACCCTTCCTCCTCCCTCGCATGCACACCCGCTCCCTTGACCCCATCCTTGGTGCACCGTCTCCTCCCTCCCTCAACCAACTGGAGGACTCCCATGAGGAGTTCACCATGGTCCGGCGCCACACTCCCTCTCTCACAGTACTTTCCCCTGACCTCCTCGGCGCCCTACTCCTTAGCGCGATCCCCGCTCCCACCATCTTCGTCCCCTCCACTTTCCAAGAGGCTATCACCTGCCCTGACGCCGATAAGTGGATAGCCGCCATCTTTCAGGAATGTGAAGCATTCATCCACAATAACTCCTTCATTGACGTTCCCCTCCCTCCTGACGCCAACCTGGTTGAGGGCAAGTGGATCTTTCGAGTCAAGCAGCTGCCGGGAGAAGAACCAGTCTACAAAGCCCGCTACGTTGCCAAGGGGTTCACCCAGACCTGGGCTGGACCTGGTTCACGTTCGCCCCCACCGTCAAGCAGGCCACCCTACGCACCCTTCTTGACATCGGTGCAAGAGACGACATGGAGATTGACTCCATGGACGTCTCCAACGCTTTCCTGCAAGGTGAACTGCACGAACGCATCTTTCTCCGCCGACCTCCCGGGTTCCATGCTAAGTTCCCCGACAACACCGTCTGGCAGCTGAAGCGACCGGTCTATGGCCTGAAGCAGGCACCACGAGAATGGCATGCGAAGCTATCTGCTACTCTCCAGTCCCTTGGCTTCTCCCCCTCCCACTCCGACGCCAGCCTCTTCATCCGCTCTTCCCCCAGTCGCTTTTTCATCTCGGTCTACGTTGACGACATGATCCTGCTGGCGGATTCCAGGGCCGACATGGACCAGATGAAGCGGTCACTTCAGGAACGACTCAAGTGCAAGGACCTTGGTCCCCTCCAGAACTACCTCGGCATGGCTATCACCCGTGATCGATCCGCCCGCACCATCACTCTCTCCCAGTCCCACTACATCGGCCAGGTCCTGGAGAGGTTTGAGATGGCGCAGGCCAAACCAGTCTCCACCCCCCTCCCCTTCGGTCACCAACTTGCGCCACCCACCTCCCCCTCCTCCTCCTCCCGGCCCTACGCCGAGCTCGTTGGGTCGCTGATGTACGCGATGATGTGCACCCGCCCCGACCTCGCCTACCCTGTCAGCGTCCTTGCTCGGTTCGTCGGCCCTGGACGTCACACTGAGGAACACTGGGCTGCCGCCAAGCGGGTCCTTCGCTATCTCTGCGGCACCAAGGATCACGCTCTCACACTGGGTGGATCCTCCCCTCCCCTTCTCTCGGGCTTCAGTGACTCCTCCTGGGCAGACAATCAGCCAGACCGCCGCTCCTCCCAAGGCTATGGCTTTACCCTCGGCAGCGGACTTATCAGCTGGCGTTCCACCCGCTCCTCCGCCATCGCTCTCTCTTCCTGCGAAGCTGAGCTCTATGCGGGCACCATGGCCGCTCAAGAGTCCCGCTGGCTCTGCTTTCTTCTGGCAGAGCTTGGTGCCCCCCAGCGCTGTCCCACGCTCTGGTGTGACAACGCCAGCACCATCCACCTCACCCAGGATCCAGTCTTTCATGGTCGCTCCAAGCATATCGAGCTCCGTTATTTCTTCATCCGCGACCTCGTCCGACAGAATCTTATCGCCGTCCGCAAGATCGCCACTGAAGCCAATTTGGCGGATATCTTCACCAAAGCACTTCTTCGCCCCGCGCACTCTGCTCTCCTCCGCCTCATTGGCCTCGCTCCTCCAGGAGCGCCTTGATTCAGGGGTTGCTGCTCTCCAGCCTTTCCGCATCTCTGCAGGTTAAGGGGTTGTGTTAGAATATCTCCTCTCTTGTAACCTGCATATATGCTATAGGATAGGCTAGAGATAAGCACCCAAACTTAGTTTGGGTGTACAAGCAGGGGTTACCCAATTTGTAGGTTGGAAACCCAACCTTGGTCCAATTATTGGACCCCAAGGGTTGGGATGGGTAGAATTATTGGTCCCCTCCAATAATGTTGGCCCAACTCCAACTTGGCCAACATTATTGGACCCCACCAATAATCTCCCAACCCAACTCCTTGGTTGGGGTCCAATAATGTTCACCTAGGCTAGTTTCCAACTCATCTCCTATGTAAACCCCCCATCCTTTCAATCAATCCATCAACTTCTCTTCTACCTTTTCTTCTCACACAGCAATGCGGCATGAAAAACAGTGCAGCAATGCGGCATGAAAAACAGTGCAGCAATGCGGCATGAAAAACAGTGCAGCAATGCGGCATGAAAAACAGTGCAGCAATGCGGCATGAAAACCAGTGCAGCAATGCGGCATGAAAACCACTGCAGCAATGCGGCATGAAAAACAGTGCAGCAATGCGGCATGAAAAACAGTGCAGCAATGCGGCATGAAAACCAGTGCAGCAATGCGGCATGAAAAACAGTGCAGCAATGCGGCATGAAAACCAGTGCAGCAATGCAGCATGAAAACCAGTGCAGCAATGCGGCATGAAAAACAGTGCAGCAATGCGGCATGAAAAACAGTGCAGCAATGCGGCATGAGAACCAGTGCAGCAATGCGGCATGAAAACCAGTGCAGCAATGCGGCATGAAAAACAGTGCAGCAATGCGGCATGAAAAACAGTGCAGCAATGCGGCATGAAAAACAGTGCAGCAATGCGGCATGAAAAACAGTGCAGCAATGCGGCATGAAAACCAGTGCAGCAATGCGGCATGAAAAACAGTGCAGCAATGCGGCATGAAAAACAGTGCAGCAATGCGGCATGAAAAACAGTGCAGCAATGCGGCATGAAAACCAGTGCAGCAATGCGGCATGAAAACCAGTGCAGCAATGCGGCATGAAAAACAGTGCAGCAATGCGGCATGAAAACCAGTGCAGCAATGCGGCATGAAAACCAGTGCAGCAATGCGGCATGAAAAACAGTGCAGCAATGCGGCATGAAAACCAGTGCAGCAATGCAGCATGAAAACCAGTGCAGCAATGCGGCATGAAAAACAGTGCAGCAATGCGGCATGAAAACCAGTGCAGCAATGCGGCATGAAAACCAGTGCAGCAATGCGGCATGAAAAACAGTGCAGCAATGCGGCATGAAAAACAGTGCAGCAATGCGGCATGAAAAACAGTGCAGCAATGCGGCATGAAAAACAGTGCAGCAATGCGGCATGGAAAACAGTGCAGCAATGCGGCATGGAAAACTTACGTGTGTTTTGATACGTCCAAACACAGCTTTACTTTTATGAAGGCCCACGAGGGAAGAGCCAAGGAGCATTTTTGAGACGGTAAAGAAAAAAAAAAGGGGAGAGACAGAGTGCAGCTGTGAGGCATGAGACAACGTCCCTTACCCGATTCGAGAGCACGGGGGTGCGGCCGCGGGCAAAATGAAAGAACTTCTTCAAAAACCGCTTCTTAAGTATCTTCCTTATAGGCTCCCCAGCCTTCCTCTCCCCGTGCAGTAAGCGATCGTACTTAACTAAGTTTGCCGCCAAATCAGCTGCACCACTGCTGCCCCCTGCCCTTCCCCCACCCCCACCACCCCCATCCCCTCCTCTACCCCCACTCCTGGTCCTAGGCCGGTTAGTGGCCGGAGTGGCGTCATCTTCACCGTCTATTGCAGCAGCGGAAGCATCTGGACCGTCCGCGTCCCCCACTTCTTCCTCCTCATCCTCCTCATCTCCCTGTGCTGCTGCCATGGGTATATCCCCTGGGGCAAGTGCTGAGGGGAAAGGACGGGGGGAAAGGGGGGAAGGAGGGAAAAAGAAGATCCGGAGGATCAAAACAGGTAAGAGAAGCAGGAGGAGGGAGAGGTGAATTGAAGAGACTTACTGCATTCGCCGCCGAGCAGGTGGTAACGGTGCGTTCGGAGCACGAGATTGGCTATGCTATGCTAGCAGCATGCCACTGATCTCTCACAAGCCACTGATCACAAAACAGGTCCTTCAGCTGGTTAACCAGTCAGAAACCAGAGCACAACGAAAGATCAGTGGCTTGTGGCTAGCTATGGGTGAAGAGCAGTAGGAGCTTGCTTACTGCCGTCGTCGCCTGGGAGGCGGTAGCGATGCATTCGGAGCACGTGATTGGCTATGCGGGTGTCCACGTCAGCGTCCATCTGGTCCACGAGGATGAAGAGCAGATCGAATCGGGAGAGCAGCGAGTCGGGCAGGCCTATGTTGCGCATGGGGGATATGGAGTGGTCGTACTGGTGGGATGGGGACGGGGGGAGTTCACAGCACAAGGGAAGGGGAAGGGGAAGGGGAAGGGGAAGGGGAAGGGGAAGGGGAAGGGGAAGGGGAAGGGAGTGTGATGTGGCACAGCAGCAACACTGGCAGTAGGTGGGGAGAGCAGCAGCGAGTGGAGCTGACTTCAGTGTCGACACTGAAGCTGAAAAGCATCCATCTGGTCGACGAGGATGAAGAGCAGATCGAATCGGGAGAGCAGCGAGTCAGGCAGGCCGATGTTGCGCATGGGGGAGATGGAATGGTCGTACTGGGGGGGGGGATTGTGGTGGGGATGGTTAAGAAGATCAGAGGGGGAGGGGATGAGGGAGGGAGGAGTGTGATGTAGCACAACACTGGCAGTAGGTGGGGAGAGCAGCGAGTCAGGCAGGCTGATGTGAGATGGAATGGTCGTACTGGTGGGATGGGGGTTGGCATGGGGGAGGGTGTGAGGAGGGGTGAGCGAGTGGCATGGGGAGAGCAGCGCGTGGGGCTGATGGAGTGGAGGGAAAGGAGTGAGGACAATAGGGGAAGGAGGATCGGGGAGTGAGGGGAAGGGGGATCGGGGGGGCAATCAGACAGGGGGAGGGAGTGAGTGGCATGGACTATGGGGAGAGCAGGGAGGCAGGCAGTTAGATGCGCATGGGAGAGATGGAGTGGTCATACTGGTGAGGGGACAGGGAGAGGACGGTAGGGGAAAGCACAGCACAACGCATACACGATGCACATGTGGGGGATGAAGTGAACATACTGGTGAAAGGAAGGGAGGGGAGGAGATTGGGAAGCAGAAGGGGAGAGGGCGGAGGAGGCTGAAGAAATAGCGGCGCAGCAGTAGTCAGGAACAGGGGAGAATCGGGGGTGGGGGTTGGAAACTTTGTGGTTAACAGCAGTCAGCAACAGTTAATGGGCAAACACAGTAGCATCACGAGCATCACTCACAGATCCGTAGATGGGATTGGCTGCAGCAACAACGCTGCAGCGAGCGTTGAGTGAGGCATGAATCCCAGCCTTGGCGATCGTGACTGTCTGCTGCTCCATCACCTGGTGGGCCGATAGCGCACAGTCACCACATGAACGGTGTGTATCCATGCGTGTGTGAGTGAGTGAGTGTGTGAGTGTGTATGAGTGGAAAAAAAAAAAAATTTAACATGACTTCACAGTTCAGGTCTCAACAGCTTTCCCAATCGCCAAACAAAGTCATTTCCGTGCAATGCCATGCCACACCATGCCACACCGAGCCAAACAATGCCACCCCACTCACCTCATGGATGGCAACGCGGTCGGCATCGCTCATCTTGTCAAACTCATCAATGCACACCACGCCCCTGTCTGCTAGCACCATGGCTCCTGCTTCCAGCCTCCTTTCTCCTGTAGAGGCGTGAAGGGAAGGGAGAGGGAGGATAAAGTCACTACAAGGATAGTAACAGTGTGCAACACATCAATGAACACCACGCCCCCTGTCTGCTAGCACCATCGCGCCTGCTTCTAGCCGCCGCTCGCCTGAATCAAAGGGAGGAAAGAGAAGGGAGAGAGCGGAGAGCGAGGCACTAAGGGGCGAGCAGCGTGTGACTCATCGATGCATGCCACGCCACGCCCCTGCCCGCCAGCACTATGGCCCCTGCTTCCAGCAAAATAGGTAAGTAGCAGCAGTGTGTGTGACTCATCGATGCATGCCACACCACGCCCCTGTCCGCCAGCACCATGGCTCCTGCCTCCAGACGCCGCTCGCCTGGATCAAAGGGAGGAAAGAGAAGGGAGAGAGCGGAGAGAGGCACTAAGGGTAAGGGGCGAGCAGTGTGTGACACATCAATGCACACCACACCCCTGTCCGCCAGCACCATGGCTCCTGCTTCCAGCCACCGCTCACCTGCAGGTGAGAGGAAGAGGGCAGAGTGAAAGGAGCAATAAGATACGAAAGCCGCACAAAAGGTTTAGCAGCGCACTCATTGATGCACACCACGCCCCTGTCCGCCAGCACCATGGCCCCTGCTTCCACCCGCTTGTGTCCTGGTCAATGGTGGTGGCACCAGTAAGAACAGCGCCTGACGAGCCACGTCCATGATGGCTCAAAGCGTGTAATAAGACATTCCAGCGAGCTGCAGTTCCTAAGGAGAAGGTTTAGCAAAGGAGAAAACAGTAGTAGTAAACCGCGTGAGAGAAGTCTAGTTTTGAGGCGCCTCAAAACCAGTAAGACCAGCGCCTGACAAGCCCCGTCCATGATGGCTCAAAGCAGCCGCAACTTGGACACCACCACCTCTGTGGAGTGGTCCTTATTGTTCGTGGAGACTCGTAATGGGTGTGCAATAGACGCCCACCTGTCTCTTGGTCGGTGGTAACAGCGGCAGTGAGACCCACGCCTGAAGAGCCCCTCCCATTGGTGGAGATGGCGAGGGGGGCTGCGTGCATGACGGCTCGAAGAAACTGCGACTTGGCGACCGAGGGATCGCCCATCATTAGCATGTTGATGTCGCTGTGAGGGGGATGGGAGTAAGCGGTGTGTGTGTATGCATGTGTGACATGGCAATACCAAGAAGCTGTGACTTGGCGACCGAGGGGTCGCCCATCATGAGCATGTTGATGTCGCTGTGAGTGGGGAGAGAGGGAGGGGGAAGGGGAGGGGGTGTTGGGTCCATGTGCAAGCAAGGCCACACCGAGCAGCTGTGACTTGGCAACCGAGGGATCGCTCATCATGAGTATGTTGATGTCGCTGCATGCGCGGTTAAAGGAGGGATTAGCAGGGGAGAGGGCAAAGCAAGACTTGGCCACTGAGGGATCGCCCATCATTAGCATGCTCACGTCGCTGTGAACCAAGTGGGGGTTGACTTTTGAGTCGACTCAAAAGTCACTTCAAAGCAAGACTCGGCCACTGAGGGATCACCCATCATGATGAGCATGCTCACGTCGCTGTGAACCAAATGGGGGTTGGGGGTAGGGGAGAGAGAGGAGGAGGAGGGAGAAGGGGATCGGGGTATATACAAGACAAAAAAGCGCCACACACTCGCCCTATGATGTGCGTCTCAATACCCTGACCCACTTGCGGATTCGCGGATCAAGGTTCAGAAAGGACAAACAGCGCCACTCACCCACACGCCCTCTGAAACGCATCCCATACTCCACCTCTCACCTCACCCGCGCATGTGGGTGCCATTGGGCAGGTTCTTCTGAAGTTCAGAATCTGAACCCCCTCCGCAGCAAAGACCTGCATAATGGGTCGACATCTCACTTCACTTCTTCTGCATGAAGAGAGACAGAAACATCTCTCTTCACCTACATGCCATGCCGACCCTCGATTCACTGACAAGACAAACAATGTCACTCACTCACCCTCTTATGTGGGTGCCATTAGGCAGGTTCTTCTCAACCCCCCCCGCAGCAGCAGCAGCAGCAGCAGCGCCAGGGCCTTCTTGACCCACGCGTGCCCACAGATGGACGGCGCCAGGGACTCCCCCACCACCCCCCACGCCTCCACACCCCCTCGCCTCCCCAGTCCCTTGCCTTCCCAATCCCTCACCTCTATACCCCCCAATGCGATGGTGTAGAAAGGACAAGCAACGCCACGCACTCACCCTCTTATGTGCGTGCCATTTGGAAGGTTCTTCTCGACACCCCCCAGCAGCAGCAGCGCCAGGGCCTTCTTGACCCACGCGTGCCCACAGATGGAGGGCGCCAGGGACTCCCCCACCACCCCCCACGCGTCTGACCGTGCTGCCAGCGCCCTCACTGCCCTCACGTCTGCTGCTGTCATGCGGGGGGCTACAGCATCCTTGCTCAACTGCATCACATTGCACGCTACAAGAACGGTTCTGAGAGGGGGGGCAGAGAGGGGGGGGCAGGGAGCGGGGGCAGGCGGGCAGGGAGCAGGGCAATGAGTGGGGCGAAGTTAGCAACTCCCCCACAACTCCCCATGCATCTGACCGTGCTGCCAGCGCTCGCACTGCCCGCACGTCTGCTGCTGTCATGCGGGGGGCGACCGCGTCTTTGCTTAGCTGCATCACATTGCACGCCACCAGCACCGTCCTGAGAAGGGGCGGAGAGGAAAGGAAGGGGAAATGAGTGGAGATAATGACTCATCACCCACCACTCCCCGCATCTCTGACTGTGCGGCTAGTACCCTCATTCGCAACCCTCTGATGGTGCCACTGCCAACCCAAGACACACCGGAAGGTGCCGCTGATGGTGCCACTGGCGCGCATGGGAGCAGCCTTGTAGATGCCCACTATTGCTACTCTGTCCCCCGGCTTGCAGGCATCCACCAGGTCGTCCTCCAGTAGCACATCCAGCGACCGTGGCAGCTGCCCTGCCGGGGCGTTCTCTGGCATCTCCTGCATCGCCATGGCTTGGTGATCGCGGTAGCGGCACAGTCCGAATTCTGTAACGAGGATGTTGCCCTTGTCGTCCTGATTTGCACGGGAACAAGGTGAAAGGGGGGAGAGCAAGAGGAAAGCTCAGGCATGCGTGTACCCTGCAGCCCAAACAACAGCATCACCCCGGCTTGCAGGCATCCACCAGGTCGTCCTCCAGTAGCACGTCCAGCGACCGCGACAGCTGCCCTGCTGGGGCGTTCTCAGGCATCTCCTGCATCGCCATTGCTTGATGGTCACGGTAGCGGCACAGACCGAACTCCGTCACGAGAATGTTGCCTTTGTCGTCCTGGTGTGAGGCGGGGAACGGGCATGCAGAATGTGTTTAAGGCAGTTGCACTGCCGGGGCGTTTTCAGGCATCTCTCGCATCGCCATCGCCTGGTGGTCGCGGTACCGGCACAGACCGAACTCTGTTTACTAGGATGCTGCCTTTATCGTCCTGAAAGACAGCGACGGGTGCAAGGGAAGGAAGAAGGGCAAGCAAAAAAGAGATCAGGCGTACCCTGCAGCCTAACCACCATCATTCCCCGGCTTGCATGCATCCAACAGCACCAGGACGCCCTCTATAAGCACATCCAGTGACCGCGGCAGCTGCCCTGCCGGGGCGTTCATGGCTCAGTGGTCGCGGCACTGGCAGAGGCCAAACTCTGTAACGAGGATGTCGCCCTTGTCGTCCTGGTGTGTATGGAAGGGGCATGAAGAATGGTTTAAGGCACTCCTCGTTGTCGTGATAGCGGCAGCACCCAAACTCAGTCACTAGAACGTTGCCCTTGTCAATCTGGTGGAGGAGAAGAGAAGTTGTGAGGGGAGGGGAGCAGAGAGAACTTCATCCTGGCAGAAGAAAGCGTATGGGAGAGATACAAAACGGAGGAAAAAAAAAAAAAAAAAACACACACACACACACACACACACACACACTCACACACGCGCGCGCGCGCGCGCACACACACACCTTGGTGGGGTAGATGGCAGGCCAGCAAGCACAGCGCCGTGTGAGGAGGACACTCAACCCAACACGCAGTTCCAAGAGTCATCCAACAAACGACCCCATGCAGGGAAGGGAACATGCACGCAACGCAACGCAAAGCACCTTGGTGGGGTAGATGGCGGGGGTGGGCAGGCCAGTGAGTGCAGTGACGTCACGGTACTCCCGAGATGCAAAGGCGAGCGCGGCAAAATTACCTCACTGTGCAAGCAACTGCAATATATGCATCACGACGCACCTTGGTGGGGTAGATGGCGGGGGTGGGCAGGCCAGTGAGTGCAGTGACGTCTCGGTACTCCCGAGATGAGAAAGCCCCCGTGGCCGGGCAGTAGTGCACACTGCGCACTACCTTGGGGCGCACAGAGGAGCCTGGGGAGGGGAACGGTGGGGTGGGGAGGAGAGGCACGTGTTTGAAGAAGTGTTTTGAGACGTCTCAAAACACTTCTTCAAACACCTTGGGGCGCACAGAGGAGCCTGGGGAGGGGAACGGTGGGGTGGGGAGGAGAGGCACGTGTTTGAAGAAGTGTTTTGAGACGTCTCAAAACACTTCTTCAAACACCTTGGGGCGCACAGAGGAGCCTGGGGAGGGGAACGGTGGGGTGGGGAGGAGAGGCACGTGTTTGAAGAAGTGTTTTGAGACGTCTCAAAACACTTCTTCAAACACCTTGGGGCGCACAGAGGAGCCTGGGGAGGGGAACGGTGGGGTGGGGAGGAGAGGCACGTGTTTGAAGAAGTGTTTTGAGACGTCTCAAAACACTTCTTCAAACACCTTGGGGCGCACAGAGGAGCCTGGGGAGGGGAACGGTGGGGTGGGGAGGAGAGGGAAGGGGTTGGCGTGTGAATGAGACTGGACGACAGTAGTGCACACTGCGCACTACCTGGGCGCAGATACTGGTAACCACCCGTACACAATGATAAACTACTAACTCACACAACAGTAGCCCCACTTGCACACTGGCCAGCGCACACTGCACTCACACTTGGTGACGATGCCGTGCACGCAGACGAGCGAGTTGAGGAAGGGCGAGAGCAGCTCGCGGGGGGACACCTGGTGGAACCCGAACGGCCCCTCAAACCCCACGCTCACTTCACCGCCCCCCACGCCCGTGGCTGCGGACTCAAGCAGGTGCTTGGGGTGCGCCAGCTTCACTGCGTCCTCCACTGCACTGACTAATGCAGGATAGAGCTCCCCTGGCGTGCGGATGAGCCTGGAAGATGGGGGGGGGGGGGGGGGGGGGGGGGGGGGGGAGGGGGAATGGGAGCTGTGGCTGCAGATTCGAGCAGGTGCTTGGGGTGCGCCAGCTTCACTGCACCCTCCACTGCGCTCACCAGTGCTGGGTAGAGCTCCCCAGGAGTACGGATGAGCCTAAGGGGGGAAGTGGGAAGGCATGGGTGGGAATGGGGGGAAAGGGGAGGGAAGGGGATTCGAGCAGGTGCTTGGGGTACAACAGCTTCACTGCATCCTCCACTGCGCTCACCAGCGCTGGGTAGGGCTCGCCTGGCGTGCGGATGAGCCTGGGGAGGGTGGGGGGGGGATGCGCACTTTGGCTGTGGGTGTGGGCTCGAGAGGGTGCTTGGGGTGCGCCAGCTTCAATGCATCCTCCACTGCGCTCACCAGCGCTGGGTAGAGCTCGCCTGGCGTGCGGATAAGCCTGGGAGAAGGGGTGGAAGGCAGAGGAGAGAAGGGAAGTAGTTGATCCTTCAACACGTCTTCACCACTCACAGACAGATTGTGAACGTGGAGAGCTTGATTGAGCATGTATACCACGCAGCTGCGAGTAACATTTAACCGCATGCAAATCTAAAATTTTCCATCCTTTTTCGGGAACAAATTGTCATATAATTCTGCACAATGCAACAGCTCTCACCCAAGCATGTAGACCAGGTCCGGCAGGAAACCATACCTGCGCGCGAGGTGCGGGTCGAAGGATCGGAGGTCCGAGAGGTCCATGAGGAGACGGTGCTTGCCCGCGTCCACCATGGCGTTGATTCGCTGCATGTAGCGCGACTTGGGGTTCTGCGCAGCCGAGGAGGGATAGAGAAGGAGAAGGGGGTGGGGTCGTGAATGAAAGGGTGGGTGGAAAAAGGGGTCATATACTACCCATAACGCATAATGATACATTTTAGGAGGAATTTAGCACACGCACCGCAACGTCGAACGTACCTCGGGATCGAGAAACCCCATGAGCTGTTACTTGTTACGTGATGCCTCAAAAGAACGATTTTTCTGTCGACTTAAAGAAAGAAGAGAGACCTCATGGGCTGCTACTTTCTACGCGACGCCTCAAAACATCGTTGTACTGACGTGAACTATTCTTTAAAAAAATACTGCTTCGCACCTCGGGGTCGAGGAACTCCATGAACGTGCGCTTGTGCGCGAGCAGCGACTCCTGGTTCAAATCCGCCATGGCTGCTTAACGTTGCTCAACAATACCGCTAAACCAGAATACGCTGTTCAACGGATCGAGTCGCCAAAAAGCGTTGAGACGATCTTGCCTCAGTGCATGAAACTCGAGGATTGTGGACAATAACGGGTTTGAACCGTAACTCTTAACAAGCCACCGCTGCCACTAGATTGCCGGCTTAGTTACGATCATGGTAACCCGACTGTCGAGACATCAGGCGAGAGACACAATACCGACAATCTCTTGACCAGCTAACCGCAGGAGACAAGTACAAAGGGGGAAGGTCCCTCCACAGAAAAAGAATGCGCTGCGGCGTGCGACTATGTCAGTGTCCCTGACGGAATGCAGCTATTGAATATCTGCCGTTTGATTTGAATGGAAATGCGCGGTGGCGATGTTGATATTCGAAGCTCCAGATCGACTCGCCACGGTACTGCAGTGACGTTAGAATGTTCTTTGTCTTTGTCTTTAATTTTCCTTTCTTTAATTTTCATTTTTGCGGGCTGTATTTTTTTTAGGTGTTTTTATTTTTATTTTTTATTTTATAGATTCATTGAACTCTATTTGATTAAATTGCCCTTCTTTCTGTTTTTCAAGGAAATACTTAAAATGCATTTCAATATCTGCAGTTCTAGGTAACATTTTAACGAAATTATCTTTATCGATCCTGGCAGCTAGATTAAGCAGTGACATCTTTACTAAATTAGCGTTATGCGTGTTATAGAGGAAACAAAAATCTGTTTTTGCTATGTCGTTACTAACACAATCTTTATAAAACTCTTCAAGGATTTTTTCAATTTTATCTTTCCCTGATTCTCCACCATTTAACTGCCTCCTTAATATATCTAAATATTTGAAGTATTCTTCTTCTAGACCCCGGAGTTCTTCATCATCACTATCAAAATCATCTCCTTTTGCTTTGAATTTACTATAAACTTCTCTTATTGAAGCCAGACTGATTACTTTTTCAGGGAGAATAGTTGAAGATGAGGTACTAGGTGATCCCGAGGCTTTTCCTTCTTTAGCTTTTCGTTCCTTACCTGATAAATCCTCATCCGAGGTATTGCCACCGTCACTTGCATCATCAACAGAAATATTTCCTGAGTCAGTGGTATCGGATATAACTTCTTCTGCTAATTTGCGTAATATTTCCCTCTGCTCTTCAGTTGCTGTGCCAGATTCTACTAAGATATAAAGGGATCTCATCTGTTCATATCTGATTTGTGGGTCTTCTTCTTTTTCTTTTGCCATTTTAAATCTCCTTATGATAATTAATAATTTATTTCAATTTTAAAAATAGGTTTATAATCTTTAGGTTGTTAACCTTAGATTAATTAGTATATCATATTGATAAATTTTGGGTTGCTAATCTTGAATTAAAATATTGTAAAGATTAAAAAAGTCAAGCGAATAAAATTTAAATAAATATTTTTCTTAAAGTGTTTGATATATCAAGAAATACAAAAGAAAAGTATGCGATCTTAGCGTAAACCTTTAGTTGTTTATGCTTTTAAGATTAAGACAGCGTGATTTTTGGTTATTTCAGGAAATAATTCTTTCGTAAAGGGTAGCATCTCGAACTTACCATTGGCAAGGAACTGTACCTCAACAATATCTCCCCCGCCATAATTAGCAATATTGGTAATATTAGCTATATGATTGCCATTAAGGTCAATTACTTTCAAACCTTTTAAATCTTCAATGTAAAACTCATCTTCGGTTAAGATTGGCGGTAAATTACTTCTTAGACAATAAAGAGATTTTTTTATAAATCTCTCTGCTTCCGTTCTACTATGGCAATTATTCAAGCTACAAATGAGGTTTCCATCTGGTTTAGCTCTGATAATTTGTAGCTTAACTGGAGTATTGTCTTGGTCAAATACTGGTAAATTTACAATATTTTCAACGGGATCGGTAAAGGATTTAACCACTACGTGCCCATTTATACCGTGTGCTGACGAGATAACGCCTACTATAATTAATTTGTCATCTAGTATATTTTTATTAGCAACTAATTGATCCGACATTTAAAAACAACTGACTGTAAATGCGGCATATATCCAGCCACAAAGGAGCTTCTTCGAGGTTTGATTACTTAAAAGAGGCAGCAAAAGATATTGTCTTTATCCTCGAGATATTCGGTAAGTAAATTTATTATCAGTTCTTAATAATTTAAAAAGATTATCTCGTAGGTTACTACTTTAATAGCCATTACTCTTAAAAAATAGTATATATTCGAATAATCTAGCTATAAAGTAAATGTTAGGCTTTTTGTTAGGACCTTCCAGTACTTATCTACTCTCTTAAAAACCTTGATAAAAACTTACTAAATTATAATTTCTCCTACTTTCCTATCCATAGTACCGTCTTGTAAATCCCTCATAAACTTAATATCTAAAGCATGTACTAAAAGTTTATTATCTTCGGTACTTAGCGTAACAGTACCGGGGGTAAGTGTTATGGAATTAGCATATATAACCACACCTAGTTTTCAGAATAACTAGGCAAGAATGATGCATTGAATGAAACAGTTGGGTACAAGTAGCAAACCCTAGTTGGGGTTGTACCCCATATTGGCTACCCCACTACAGCCTACAAGCATAATGCAGTTTAACACACCCCCATAGGCAAAGTGGGGGAGAACAAAGGGTCACAAGACCAGTCCAGCAAAGCAAAGCAAAGCCCAGGGTGGATCACAACGTCACCACACTCCGAGCACAAGTAAAGGCCACAAGGCCAGTTCACATGCAGTGCTAGATATAGTACAAGACAAGCAACACAGTGATCAAAACCTAGCAAGCAAGCAACAAGATATATATAAAGTACAGTACAAAGAATGTCAAGCAGTGAGCAAGTGAGGAAACGTGGACACAAGGCCTAAAGAAGTACAGTGCCGCTGATGATCACTAGGCGGGAGCGCCTTGGTGAAGATATCAGCAGTGTTGGCCTTCGAGTCCACGTACACAAGCCGAAGCTGACCGCGCTGCTGAAGCTCTCGAGCAAGAAAGTAGCGAAGAGCAATGTGCTTCGTCCTGTGCTCCAGTCTGTGCTCCTGACACAAGGCAAGAGCCGCCTTGTTGTCACCGTACAGAACTGGCGGAGAACTAGGCCGCTCTCCCAAGTCAGTCAGCAGGTAGGTGAGCCAGCGTAACTCCTGTGCAGCCATGGCTGTGGCGTAGATCTCAGCCTCACAACTAGAGCCGAGAACAGAGGAAGAGCGGGTGGACCGCCACGAGACAGAACCAGAGCCAAGGCTGAAGGTGTAACCCTGTGACGACCGCTGCGTAGCCAGGTCGTCCACCCAAGAGGCGTCCGAGTGACCAGTGAGGACAACTCTGTCGCGTCCTCCAAGCACCAGCCCCATGCCTGATGTACTGCACAGGTACCGCAGCACCCTCTTAGCAGCCTCCCAGTGCTCTCGCCTGTGTCTCCCAGGCGCAACGTAACGAGCAAGGATGCTAAGAGGGTACGCAAGGTCAGGTCGCGTGCAAGTCATCAGGTACATGAGGCAGCCTACAAGCTCTGGGTACGGGCCACTCGGCTCTACGGACTCGTCCGAAGGTGGAGCTGAGAGCGAGTGGCTGGTAGCCAGAGGTGTGGCCTGTGGTGAGGAGAACTGGAAGCCGAAGCGCTGAAGGACCTGCTGCACCATGTGTGACTGAGTCAGGGTGATGGTGCGACGGGCTCTGTCCCGGGTGATCTGCAAGCCAAGGTAGCTACGCAGTTCACCCAGGTCAGTGCAGGTGTGTCTCTTCTGCAGCTCCGACTTCACACGAGCGAGTGCCTCAGTGTCAGCAGTAGCAAAGACCAAGTCGTCGACGTACACGAGGATGTAGAACGGCGGCAGCGACGTGTCAGTGCGCAGAAACAGCGACGGGTCAGCAGTAGACGGCGCGAACCCAAGAGCCGCAAGAGTAGTCCTCAGTGTGTCGTGCCACTCACGTGGTGCCTGGCGGAGACCGTAGACTGGCCGGCGGAGACTCCACTGGGTACCAGGGGGAAACGACCCAGTAAAGCCAGGTGGGCGGCGCAGCCAGATCTCCTCGTGCAGGCTGCCCTGCAGGAACGCTGTGCTGAAGTCAAGAGAGTGAAGCTCGTAGTCACGCTGAGCAGCAACGTGCAGCAAAACCCGAAGAGTGGTCATCTTCGGGGTGGGGGAGAAGGTCTGGAAGAAGTCGACCCCCTGACGCTGACTGAAGCCTCGAGCCACGTAACGCGCCTTGAAGACAGGCGGAGAACCCGGCGGCCGCTTCACCCTGAAAATCCACATGCCATCGACGATGTTCGCCCCAGGAGGGGGAACCTCGTCGACGTAGGTGCCTGTGGACTTCCAGGATGCCATCTCTGCGTCCATGGCAGTCTGCCACTGAGAGGAGTAGGGACCCGAGATCGCCTCTGCGTAAGTGCGCGGAGTGGGGATGTCTAGTGCATCCGGGTCTCCCTCAGGGGCAAGCAACCAGGCCACGAGATGAGGTACAGCAGCCGCAAGAGAGTCAAAGTCCTCCTGCCTGTCCTCAAGGACGTCCGTGCCAAGAGCACACTCACCCCCGACGGACGGAGGACAGACAGACGCAGACTCTGACTCAGCGACAAGGCTAGCAGCGTAGTCTAGACGACAGGTAGCAGCAAAGTCAACCAACTCAGCGACCAGAGCAGACGCAGCCGAGGACTCAAAGGTGGGGTCAGTGACAACAGTAGCAAGGAGACGCGTGACTGTAGGGTGCTCAGCGCGATACCGGTCAGACTCAGGGTCCGGAACGGCAGGCAAAGAGGACGCAGGAGGAGACGGTAGAGGGACACGCCGAGGAGCAGTAGAGGGACGCAGAGTCATGTAGTGAGTGCCTGGGACAGGAGGAGGACGCTCACGACGGACACGACTACCAGTGCGAGCAGGACGAACAGGCGACGCAGGACGAGACTCAGGCTCACGACGCTCTGTAAGACCTCCTGTGGGACCAGTATAAGGAGAGGGAGCAAGGAGAGGCGAGGCAGGCGGTAACTGT